ATGCCGTCGTATTTGTCGCCCTATTTTCTTCAATTGTGAACAAAACTGAAGGTCCTTTCTGCTTCTTTGAGTAGTAGTGCCTCAAACTTGGGTAATTGAATCTTTAATACAATAAATTTATTAATACAACAACGAACTTGCAATTACAACGTTGACACAACAAATTAGTAACGAAAAACTAGGAACGTCAACAAATACGATGGCGTACATTAAATGCTACATTTGTTGTCCCACAGAATTGCAGGACGTCCCAAAATTTTGCTTCAAGCCACAATAGCCGAAGCTCTGGTCCGAAACACTCAGTTACCTTAAATTTGGGTAATTAAACCGCCGGAACTACCTTCATCATTTTCATATCATTGTCGTGCATTCAATAATCATCGGTTCCCATGCGTGCAAAAACAATCCATACACTAAATTCTCATCATTTTATCGCTTTAATACCTTCACAAGCGCAAAATTTCAAAGATTGTCTGCAACAGCTGGGATTCCCAGGCCGTCTCCGATCCAAGTACCAGCCAGCCCAACGTTGCTTAATTGAAATATTAGAAGAGGTGCCTGCAACGTAGTAACAGCGCAGCCAGAAACATTCGATTTTATGGGTCGGTTGATTTTGATGGACTGCAGAGGGCACCGAACAATGGTATGAATCGCGGTCTTTGCTTTATTTACAGACGTTTCGTCTATCAGAAACGTTGATAATATTACGGATTTTTTCCTGTAATAATAATAGTGGGACTTATATCAAAAAAATTTTATGGAATATAGTTCAGAGCGTGATATGTGAGGTATATGCTATCAATATGAGACTTTCATGTGGGAATGTCAGTAATGCTTTTTGCCATGTTTTTATCGTTATTGACAATAACTGACATCAACGTTGGTCGTTTGGAATATTTTTTATTTGATTTCTAAGACAAAAAAGCTGATTATCGTTACTAAATTTCTACAAAACTTATTTTTTCACAGAAGTTCAACGAATAATAAACCAATCAGCGAGCCACACAATGTTGAAATTACCGCCATGAATCCAAATATGCTTCCGGCTAATTCACGCAGTTCAGCACGTACTTTGCTGAAAAATTGAAGGGAGAAGAATTTATCAAGGACTGAGATTATTTTAATTATAATTTTTTGGCAAAACATTTAACGTGTTTCTATAAAAGAGCAGTAGCATCAGGATATATTTGTTCAGCGATTGAAAAAGAATATTACTACATTATCCGGAGCGTAATCAACAGAAAATGATTAATACAGAAGCAATAAGAGTAATGTTGCGTGCAATATGGCGTAAACTGATGAATTGTTGCTCAAACTAGTTATATTATGGAAGGAGGATTCTAACATTAATGCAAAATCAACGTCCTTCTAGCATGCAACGTAGAGTCAGATTTTTTTTTCTTTTTTCTTGAGAAATGGCCATATATCTGTTCAATGAAAAGAGTTAACGATGATAACAATTTATGACGTTTACGACGTTGTTCACCAGTCTAATGGTGTTTCAGTCAGGGTAATTTTTACCTTTCAATTAGTTTAGCTAAATCTCTCAAAGCCTCTTCGTTAACTCACCCACATTACGATATTTCTTTAGATTATGGAAAAACGATCACATAAACAAAAATCAATCTGGGATAAATATATCTCAAATACGATCAGATTTTTTATTTCTTTCAAAATTTAAGCTGCATCTGACTCATTGACATTAAAAACATAGACATCTATGCAAATATGTATATATGCTGTGTCCAATTTTATACATGTCCACACATATACTCAGACAGAATAAAATATAAAACAGATAATGCTGAATTTTGCCTTTCGAGAAAAAAAAAGACTTGCCTTGTCGCATTAACAGTTGCTGTCGTAAACAGCAAACCATTTGAAATAGAAAACAGTACCATTGTTGAAATAAAAACTTCATCATTGCGAAATAATGTTACAGAATGGTAACGTGGATTAATATTGCAGAAAAACAACACTGGAATAGCAAGCAGCCGAAGAAACGACAACACTATCAAGGCTTTCCTACTCTGAAATTGGCAGTTACAATTGGTAGTTTGGCAAAAAGCGAGATTACCGCTTCGTTTTATGTTTCATACTACAATTTATCTTTATGTGATGAGAAATAGCGCTGCATGAGAATCACAGCTATCCTAGGCAAAAATAGATACGGATCACTACAAAACCATTTAACCATTATTCTAGAATTACATTGCAATTACTGTTCGCCAAATTAGCCGATGTGGTCCTGTTGAAATTAGCCCGCATCATTTGGCAAATAGTTACAAATGAAGTCAGCCGGTAAACACATGTCATGCTTGCTCAAAGCTTTGCAACAATTCCGTGATCCTTCATGCTGTTCTTACATCTGCTAAACCGTTGCCAGTCTTACACCGACTACAAATCAAGAAAGATTCAATAATTCTTAAGTTATTTAAATCGTTTATAGCGCTGCTACTATAGAAAATGCAGACCTATCTTCTGGACTAATCTGAAATCCTGAATACTACATCTTGTTCGCCAAGCTACGCATTCAACAATTGATTATGCAATGAGTTGACAAATTTGCCAATCTCAGTATTTCTATGTACAATATGCATTCGTACAGTAGGCGTTTACGTCTACATTTGGAGGTATCCTAAATCAACTAAATGATGACTTTGTATCAAGATTTATAGATAACTTGTCAGCATATCAAATCTTGCTTTATCTATTTCAATTTACCAGTTAATTCAACTGTTGTTTAAGTTGACACTTACCAGTTTAACAAAATTCACGACTAAACGACCCAGTGCATCACCACAATTGAATAATAAGAAGCATGCGAGAGACGAAAAATAATCTGCAAAAGATGGTTTCAGTGAGGAACAGCAAACACTAGTAACTATCAATAGCTGCAAATTCATCATTTCACTAACGCAGTACCTTTCCACTGATACATCCTTTAAGCCCATAAAAAATCTGATTTGGTTCCTCCCAATTATTTTGTCCTGTTACCAACGTACTGCTGCGAATACTGCGGCAACTAATCTAATTGGTGTTATATTATCGTGTATTTTTATTTTGCTGTGATGAATTAGCTATAACGTCCGAGCGGATTATATTTAGTTTTAGCTAAATCACCTTAATTACACCATGTCAAGTCAGTCGTACTTTATCTTATGATCAATACCAATGTTTTCGATTAGCAGCGCAAAATGTAATTGAGACCATCCAGACATATCCACATAAAACATATACTAGATAATTCAACTAGTTTGCCGCATAGCTATTTCTTCTCAACAATCCAAATGCTGAAGCCTCTAATTCCAACCGTTGCAATTTTTTGATTCGAAAAACAACTGTAAGATATAGAAAAAATTAGTCTAACCACCCATGCTTTTCTTCAGCACCAGTTTTGCAGAGATTAACGGATATGATATACTTACTTTTCCAAACCAAATTTTTCGCAGTTGTTTGAACCAACGATGAAATAGCTGGAAAAGCTGTCATAGTACCGAAAAAAACCATAAAACCAGCCCACCACTCCGTCTTGATCTGAAATGAATATTACTTCAACCAGTAAATAGTTCTTGACAAACGCAGCACAATGCATGAAGTTACCACTAGTTCATGAGGTTTAAAATAACTGCAGTGACTCAAGGATGTAAATCTTTTTTATGAAATTCGAGATATTGGAAATTCATGGTATAAGAACGTATAGAAATTCATGCGTTCTTATATTCCAGACCAACCGAGTAGCATAGCATCGGATGACCGAAAGGACAAACCCTTTGGCTTTTTTTTTTGCATTTACCCAAGAAAAAGGTAAGGAACTATAAAAATAATGCAGCAAACAATCCTACGGACTTACTTGTTTCCACACTTGTTCCGCGTCATTCCATAACGAGTGAGTTTCCGCCGATCGCAAATAAAGCGGAGGTTCATCTCCTTCGAAAGTGTTGTCAATATTATCTAATATAAAATGTAATTCTAAGTCTGAATTAAACAATACTAACTTGTTCTCTATGAAAAATGACATTATGGCTACCTGAAGTACCGAACTTTTTTTTTTTACATTATAATATGAGTACTGCACATTCCACGTTGAAGTTTTTCCATTTATGGGTTAAGTAACAGAAGAATTTTGTCCTTACCCATATTAAGCTACTCAGTAAAGAACCATCAGAGGAATCCGTAATGTTAGGTTATATTGAAGAGCTCCGTTTCAACATGAAAACATTTAGGAAATTAAAAGGAAAATACCAAGAAGCCGTTGATCCGACAAGTGGTCAATCCGACTACCTTCTTCGGCAAGCAACAATTCGGTTTCTTTCAATCGAATCAATAATTCATAAAGAAAAACACTCAAAATAGTCCAAATAAAGGCAATTACAAAGAATAGACGACCATTCACAAGGGGATTAGCTGCTAAGCTTTGGCAAAAGATGCTCAACAGCGAACTCAAAATCCCAGCGACTGACTGACCAATCATTACTGCTTGTACCTGCAACGCAAATATAAAGTGCTTAAAAAAGCATTAAAACGTGAGCTTAAGCATCCAGCACTCCAAAATTCTCGTTGACAGTGGTCGTACGCCTTATCCCTGAAAGATTTTAACAAGAAAAAGAAGTTTTGAGAACATGAGGATGATAAATTTCAGAAATTAATGAAAAAATATGGATCAAAATAAATCTAAATTTCAAAGAAAAAAAATCACATTTTCAGATGGAAACTTTGCTGAAAATCCCAAAAGGCCGCAAGCAATCAAACCAATGGAACCAAAACTGGCTGCTGAAGCGAGCAACATCGAAACACAGAAGAAAGCCAACTGGACTATAAATTATTAACATGATTATATTATGTGGCAAGCAAACTACTCAAAGCAAATATTAAAGTTAATTGAGACGAACGTCGATAAATCGTGGAAGAAAATAATGAGAAGCATACATGCATCAGTATCGATATAAGTTAATAAAACCGTAGGAACAAGTGCCAATAGCACAATCATATGGCCTGCTCGAATTCGTAATGAGTGTCCCAGTATGAAAAAAAAATATATATATATATATATATATAAGGTACACTTTTTGATCGAAAATACAGCAAAGGTTTCCTTGATATAATCAGTCTTTTCCTGAATGTTTTGCCGGAATGGAAAAGATAAGTTAATGCGCTTGATCTGGTATATTTTCGGGATCTTCAATCACATTAAGCCGAATGTTTACAAATTAAGATCAAGCAATTTGAACGAGAAAACTTAGTCAACAGTTGCATCTAACATAAGAGTTAGACGCTAACACAGCTGATGTTCCGATGCTCAAGAGACCCTCGAGCAACTTCAGGTCACGCGTTGTAAAAGATGGGGAAGTTATCTTTTGGTATGACTAGCTTCTGTACTTTCTACAGTTAGAAATTCCAACGATTTCAACGATTACTGATACCATAACGAAGTTCAACGTGAAGTATAAAGCACTAAATTTCAGATAAAAGCGCAAGAAATTCAAAAACCTTACCGTCCTGTTGTCAAAAAATTTATTCCCGAACCAAAGGCGCATGAAATACCACCTGTAAGCGTAACCCAGCCTTCGTAGGAACGTTGTAGTTCAGTGCTGCCATCTTTTTCATGAATTAGAGTTATATTTCCGGTAACATTGCGTAGCTTGTAATGATAGTACTAAAAGGAAAATTATTCTTTTAAATTATTCCTATTTTAAAGAAAGAGAAAAATCATCTTAAGCATTAAACTTTCAGAAAAGTAACTTACAAAAAGTAACCAGCATCAAAGTCCAATCAATTCAATAGTTCAAACTTGATCATAGACAGACAAATGGTCGCGATTTACCCGAGATCTCTGACATATGTCCTGCTCTAACCAACCTTTCATTCATGTTAATTTTAATTATTTGCATTAATAATATTGACATACCTCATGCGCATTTATAAACAAATTCCATGGTAGCAAACTTGTCACAGAAACAAACATGAATGTGGCAAATATCAGCATTCGATATGCGTCCATTATTTGTGCGTTCTAATCATATACCGTAAACTGATGTGAATTCTCCAAGAGTTCTCTAGAGTTCTCGGAGGAATTCGGAGTCCTTTCGCTTAATGTATATATGGATAGGGAAGAATGTTATTTTCACATTTAATCCTGAAAACACTGAGCTCTCGCAATTCCCAAAAACTATCTAGTTTAAAAGACTTTTAAAAGAAAAACTTATCGTAAGTCAGATTTAAACGAAGATCTAATTAAAAATCACGAGGAAAAAACTAAATGGAAATCTAAGAGTAAACCAAAAGGAAATCCAATTCATACTTGAATTCTTGATTTAAAGTCTAATTAACAATTGCAAGAGAAAAGTCAAATAGCAATCTATGAGTACATCAATAAGAAATCTAATTCACATTCAAATTAAGAATTCGCCAAATACTAGACCAAAAGTTGAAGTAAACGGGTTTAGCCGGATTAAGATCGTCTCAACTTGAAACGAGAAATATATGAAGAAATTGATTCAAATTTAAATAACAAGTAATAAAGAAAAATTCCGATTCACATACGAATGAAAAGCCATAAATAAAATTTCTATTAAGATTTAAAGCAGAAATATGAATGGAAAAGTTCAGTTCAAACTAGAATCAGAAATGTAACAAGGTAAAGGACTAAAACAGTTGTCAAGAAAGCCGAAAAAGAAAGACAGAGAGATAGAGATAAAAAAAGATATAGATATAGATAAAGTTCAATAAAACGACCCGAATTTTTAAATTCCATTTAACCATAATTTCTGTATTACTTCCTCTGAACGTGGTTGCTAATAAGTCTCTGATTACCCTAGATCCAAGACCTAACCTTTAACCTAACCTAACACCTCTCATTTGAGGAAATTAAAGAAGAAAGAAGGAGAAGGTTGAGAACGATTAACACCAAACTCTCACCCACGATAATATGGCCAGTTTATGAAAATTCCAATCCCACCATGATAATTTAATTACTGCGAAATTGCGAACTGATAAGATTTTGCGATGAGTAAAACCTTCCTTTTTTTTATTTTTTTTCTTTCACACATTGAAATTTGTCTAAAGAATTGTATGATAACTCAATTGTTAGTTGTATCTATTGTAGGTAATTCAACGGTAATGCTAAATGGATTCCATTTATTAATTTATCCATGAATAGCTTCTAATGATAATTTACTAACTCGATCATATCTTTCAATCATTCAAACTAACTTTCATTCATCACATTTATAACTGTTTCAATCAAAATATATGATAAAATAGATCTGGAAATATTCATATAATTAGTTCGAATAATTCACCCATTGTTGAGCACTTTTTATGTTATTGTTCAATACACTGAATACATGAAATAGTAATATAATCAAGAAAAAGTCCAGCTTTATTGATATCATCTCGATCTTGCCGTAAAATATTTGCAAATGTCGGAAAGTTGTCAATTAAAAAAAATGGTTTTTAATGCTAATTCGATATTTTACATAGTATTTGAAAATATTTTGATTCTAATGGTATTATCTTTCACTAAAACCATGATTATTTTGTTAGAATATTTTATAAAATGTTTTACTAGAATTAATTTACATTCACTGTCATATATGAAAATTAAGTAATTGCTTTAAATCATTATTTCATTTTATCGTTATATCGTTCCGGAAAATTGCCAAATAAAGCAGGATATTTCTTCAGATTTCTTCATCTTATACCGTAAAATTATTTTGTCAGCTTATCACAATTGCTATTGTTTTTTTTCTTTTTTTTTTTTTTTTGTTGAATTCTTACAAAGTATGGTAATGCAATGCTAAATTTTCAATTTTCCATTGAAATTTAAGACTTGATTTTTTTGAATTTAAAGAGAGGAAAACTTCCAGGCTAAAATTTGGCCATGAAATTCTACTAAATAATGGATAAAACCATTTTTTTTTTTGTTAGAAAAAAAAAAACTCGGCTAATAAGTTGTTCCGATATTCCTTTGTATAAAAAGCTTAACTTTTCACTTCAACAGATTATGTTTGTTGAATCACGAAGATTTAAAATTTACTTGCAATTACAAACATCTCAATTGTACCATTTAGTTTCCAATTTGTCGAAATGTACAATGGAAAAATATTCCAATATACAAAAACAAAAGAATCATTGTCATTTTTTGACAAAAATTGCGGAAATTTTCAAAATTACATTGAAAAGTCCTAAAATTTGAAAAATTGAAGATTTAAAAAGTGCAGGCAAATTTCTAATGAAAGTCATCTTTTCTAAATTATGACCATTTTTACAATGAAACCATAAAATGATCATGAAATCGTTCTTTTCCCTTCTACAAAAAATGGAAATTTTTTAGTGGTAGCAAAAGTGATGTTAAAAATAAAGCTTTGAGATGTTTTTAAAAATTTAAAATTATATATATATATATATATATATATATATATATATATATATATATATATATATATATATATATTATTATTATTATTATTATTAT